TTTTTTTTTTTTTGCCTTAAAAATCGTGTAGTTAGAATTTAATTGTAGAGTTTCGTGTTTGCTTTAGTTTAATTTTAAAAAGTTTTTTTAATATTATTATTATCATCATCATCATCGGTTCGGACGCGGTAATTACGTTGCGATTAAAATCAACGTCGTCTCTTTAATTCGTAAATGAATTTTTTTTTTTTTTTCCGTCTTTTAATAAAAAAAAAAAAAAAAAATTTTTATCTGGTGCCACGAAACTGGTTTTTCCACGCGCACGCCCACGCCCAAATACAAACGAACCAACAATAAGAATGATTATTATTATTATGATGATGATGATGAAGATGATATCAACAATTATTTATTATTATTATTATTATTATTATTATTATTATTATTATGGTTTTTTTTAAATGTGTTGCATCGCCCCCCCTCTTCTGCTCCCTGCTCCCTGCCCCCTCTTTATTTCTTTCAAAAAATGTCTTCTTCATCTTCTTAATGGTTCGTATCGGAGTCAGAAGCCGTTTCTAGAAACTATTCCAGTTTTTTTTTTTTTTGAAATTTATTTTTAGATTGTTTATGAAAATGGATGACAACAACGAAATCTATTCACTTGGCTTTAGAATTCTTCTTTTTTTTTTTTTAATGGCAGTTTAAGAAGAAAGAGAGGGGAAGGGGGAGAGGAAGTGAGGGAGAGAGAGTTTATCGTTAATATATTATTCGTGTATACTCGTTTATATATTTGTATTGGTGATGATGATGATGGCGGCGGCGGGGATTGTCGTATTCGTAATTTATTTCCCAGGCCGTTACGATGAAAAGCTCGATATCATTATCATTATTATAGTGAGGGGAGAGGGAGGGGGAGGGGAAAACGAGAGATTTTCAGATAGATTGAAAGTAATGTAATGATAATAATAATGATGATAAGAATGATGACTGGAACTTTTCATTGAAAATTTTTTTTTTTTTTTTTTTTTTTTTATCGTTGATTTACCTTACGCCCTAAATATCTCTCTCTCTCTCTCTCTTTTTTTCTTTTTCTCTATCTCTATCTCTTTTCCCCATCATCAAAGTTTTCGAATGTTTTAAATTTTTTTTTTTTTTTTTCGGGATACTATCTTACGAGAAATAATAATAATAATGAGGAAAACGAGTTTTCTTTCTTTCTTTCTTCCTTGTCTTCCTCTCTTTCTCTCTCTCTCGTCGGTTTCTCACTCGATGTTTGTCCATCTCTTTCTACTTACGATTTATCAGAAAAAAAAAAAAAAATTATTCTCGTCATGTTGCCTTTGACGTAAGAAATTTCATTCATAAATTCATTTTGAAAAAAAAAAAAAAAAAAAAAAAAATAGGGGGGGGCAAAAAGGTTGTTCGTCATTCTCCGAGTTATCGATTTCCTCCCGCCCCCCTCTCCCTCCGCCTTTTTTTCTTATTATTATTATTATTATTATTATTATTATTATTATTATTATTATTATCATTCCTCGATTTATTCGTAACGATTATATCGATTTTTATCCGTGGGTTCGATTTATCGTCATCGTCATCATCATTATTATTATTATTATAATTTCGTGTTGTTAATTTTTAAAACGAATTAAATTTCGAAAGTTATTATTACGTAGGTGAGCGAATGAATGAATGGGAATGAATGAATGAATGAATGAAATAACGAACGAATTAGAATATATATAAACGTTGTATGTTGTTTGTTAGATGAGATTTTTTTTTTTTTAAACGGATTTAACCGGAACGATTGGTATTATTATTATTATTATCATTATCATTATTATTTTAATACGCATTGTATGGGAGTTATAAATATTACGCGGTCTGTAAAAAGTTTCATAATTCTTTTTTTTTTTTTTTGTGGTCGAGTAGAATTTTCGGTCGTTTCTGTGATTTATATCGCGAGAAACGGAATTTTTAGAAAAAAAAGAGAAAGCGGGGGAATGTATGAATGAATGAATGAATGACTGACTGAATGAATTCGTTTTCGACGTTTTAATAATATGCGTGAGTGCGTGGCGAGTAGCAGTACTGCGAGGGGAAATCGGGTGTTGGATTTAGTGGTGGTGACGTCGGCACGCGGAGGGGTCAGGTGGGATGGGAGAGGAGGGAAGGGAGGGGGAATGCGGGTCAAGGTCGTCGGGAACGATATCGTCTGGAAAAAGTCTTGGATGGAACGCGTTCGGGAAAATATTTTCTCTCTTTCTCTCTCTTTTGCTCGTGCACGTGTGTGAAATATGCATGCGAAATCGTCGGCAGGCACGTAAGGAAAGAAAAAAAGGAGGAAAGGGGGGGTCGGGAGAGTTGGGAGGGGGGCACGAAAAGAATGAAAAAGAAAAAAAATGCGGCATTAACTTGTTGCAAAAAAAAAAAAAAAATTAATGAGTATATACATACTGCGCGCATTACCTTGGGATCTTAATGGGCAACCTTGACTGGGTACACCCATTGTCGGACTCAAATATTAGACTCGGTCGTCATTTAATAAAGAACAATCGTTCCACTCTAATTTGTTCGTTCATTCATTCATTCATTCATTCCCATCACTCATTCATTCATTCCCATCACTCATTCATTCATTCATTCATTCATTCATTGAATTCGCGCGTTCGTTTGTCGTTTTTTCGCGTGCGTTTTTTTCCCTATCAAATATGAGAAAGGATTAAGGGACTCTTCACTTTTTCTCCCTTTCCTAAGGGGGGAGGGTGGTGGTGTAAAACGAAATGGCATGAAATTTTTACTACTTTCGTGACATGAAAGCAGAAGAAAAGTGCGTGTGTGTACTCGCACACCTCGTTTACGAGGAATGAAAGAAAGAAAGAGAAAAACGTCGCCGCCATTTTGATTGATATACAAATAATTTTTTTTTTTTTTTTTCTTTTGGAGTCGAATCGTGACTTGGCCGTTTTTTTCCCCCCCTCTCTCTCTCTCTCTGTCTCTCTCTTTTTCTCTTTAGTGACATTTAAAATAATATTTAAAGTTTAAGTCGTTTTTAATAAGTTTTTACCCTCCCTCCCCTCCCCAACCCTCTCTTTCCTTTTTGGCTCTGATGAAGTTGGTGGCGACCTTTCCCTCCCTCCCTCCCTCCTTCTCCTCTTCTTGTCGAAGAAGTTAAATCGGGTGTCGTTTTTTTTATAGTTTCACAAGGAGGGAGGGAGGGAGGGAGGGGGGTTTACGGCACGATTCCCTCCCCCCCCGTTTCCCACCGAACGTCACGATCCGATTGTGTTGGTCTTTTTTTTTCGAAGAACGGGGGGAGGGAAGAGAGAGAGAGAGAGAGAAATCGAGAATTTAAAAATAATTTTTCGTCGTCGTCGTCGTGTTGTATATATATTTAATTTTAATTTTTTCGAACGAACGAACGAATTTAAAAATAAATTGAATTGGAATGAATGAATGAATGAATGAATGAAAAGAAAATGTTTTTTTTTTTTTTTCTGCCACGGCAAATTTATTTTTAATTACACTTTGAAATGGCTTCTTATTTTTTTTTTCTATAGAGAAAAAAAAAAAAAAGTTGAATCCGCCAAAATTTTATTTTGTTTTTTAGTGTTTTATATTGAAATTGTTTGTTTGTTTGTTTGTTTGTTTGTTTGTTTGTTTGTTTGTTTGTTCGTTTGTCCGTTTGTTTGTCGATGATAAAAACGTTTTGGGTTCTTTCGAAAGTGGCAAAAGTCGTTTATTTTTTCCCGAACGAAAAATTTCGATGTTGGCTGCTGTTGCTGTTTCTGGTTACACGAAATTCTGGTTTATCTTCCACTCGTTTATCTCTCTGTCCTTTTCTCCTCGGGTATTATGATTATTCGAAAAGATTTTCATTGATTGATTGATTGATTGATTGATTTTTTTTTCATTTATTCGTCATTCCCGTTTCGTTTCGTACCTTTCGTTCTATTAGAGTTTTTTTTTTCGCACGTGATTAAAAAAAAAAAAAAAAGGTCTTTCGTTGATTGGGTTGTTTTTTTGCTTTGACCTTTCGACCTGGAATGGAAATGCAAACACACACGCACACGCACTCGCACACGCTCTCACGCATAACCCAAAGGTACATCTTCGGGTAATGAAGTGGCGCCGCCGCTGCCGCCGCCCCTGATTTTTATTTTTATGACCGATTGTTTGTTTGTTTGTTTGCTTGCAATTTTGTTCGTTTGTTTAATTTGACTTTATCCGAAGGAATAAGAAAATAAAGGGGGGATGGGAAGGTTACGGGAAATTTTTTTTTTTCAATTTGTGTTTCAACCTTGAATGAAATATTTGGAAATGTCCATAAATGTCTCGGCGTCCTTTTGCGTAGTATTTGTTTTTGTTCTTCCGTAGTAGTTGATGGTACCTGTACACAATGAAGACTCGGAAGACGTGTCTATAAATAGGGAACAATTAGGGAATAGGGAACGAACGAAAAGTTTTTTCTTTTTTCAGTGGCCATGTTGTGTAGGATTCCAACAGTTTTGGTTTCCCCCCTCTCTCTCTCTCTGTGTGTCTCCTCCCCCCTCGGAAACGGGAACGATGAACAGAATCAAAGTTTTTTTTTTTTATTGCGTTTGTGATGTAATAAATAAATAAATAAAAAAAGCCAGCCATAAACCAACCAATCCCTTCATTCACCGCGTTTCTCTCTCTCTCTCCCACTCTCTCTCTCTCTCTCTCTCTTTTTCTCTCTGTGCGTTGTTTTCGATGGTCGGCAATAATAATGAATTGGAAATTGAATATCATGATGAGGGGATCCGCCCTTTGCGTTGGTGGACCGTTCCTCGCGCCCCGTTACAGTGTTATAAAAAGTTTTTTCATCTTCTTCTTCTTCTTCATCTTCATTTTCTTTTCTGTTCGCCCATTGATTGTTTGTTTTAATTTTGTTTCTTTAAACTTTTAATTAAATAAAAAAAAATTTTTTTTTTTTTTTTTTTTTGATTTCAGATGAATATAAAGACTGCACGATGAAGTGGTTTAAAGAAAAGAAAACGATCCGACCGGTTCGATGAAATTTGGCCGATACTAACTCGATGGAGAGTCATGGGGGCAGGTCCCTCGAGACCCCTCACGGGGTTGCTCCAACCGAACAAAGAACCGTTACCCCCTTGCTTTCGGCCATGCCACTGGACGTCAGAGAGTCCGGAGAGCCCATTTTCCACCTCGTCGACGGGATTCAAATCCCTCCGACAGCGCCTCGTCGACCCAACTGCCCTGTGCGCGTACATTCGAGGCCCCAAATGGCCATCGTGACGTCTCCTCCTCCCCAGACGTGCGTTCTCCAACCCGTCACGTCTTCGGGGCCGATAAGGACTACGAATTTAGCGCGAAGCAGTTCACGGACTAATAGTGCGAACCCGCGGAGGAACGCGTGCGATTTTCCGACATCATCGGCAAACGGTTTTTTAGAAAACTCAATGATGATTCCCTCGACTCCGGTTTTGAACGGAAGAAGTCATCCGGTTTCCACGAGTCGATTTCAAAACGCTAATATTAATAATAATAATCATAATAATCATAATAATAATAATAATAATAATAATCAATTTTCTAATTCTTTAACCAATTCCGCTAGTAGAAGTCGAACTGGAACGGGAAGTGTTAATAGTTCGGTGGAAGCGGTGTCACTAACGTTACCGCGGCCGGAAACGGAAAGAACTGCCAACGAATACGTAGAAACTCCGTTGCGGTCCGGCCTAAGTCTAATCGAACCAAAGTTAGAACCTTCTCCTCATAGAACAATCAGATCAACAGGTTTTAGTGGTGGGGGTATCATCGGCGATGAAACCATACAAAGAGACTCTAATTTTGCAATGGTTACGCTCCCCGTGACGGGACTAGAAAGAAATTCTAAACACGGTGAAAGGAGCAGTCAGAGGCACGGCGTGAGCGGCGGCGGTGGCGGTGGCATAGGAATAGGAGTAGGCGGCGGCGGCGGCGGCGGCGAAGAGAAAGTGATCACTACTCAACCTAGTGCGACTTTTAAAAAAGAACGATTTCAATCCGAGTCGCAGTGCTCGAGGCAAAATGACGACATAATATGCTCCGAGTGCAAGCGATGCAGGTGCGAGTCGTGTCGAACGCCTCGTCCCCTTCCCTCAAAGTGGCTGTGCGGCACGTGCCATTGTTCCGCCGACACGATAGTCGATTACTCGACGTGCCTATGCTGTGCGAAAGCATTTTTCTACCATTGCTCCAACGACGAGACTGCTTCCTACGAGAACGATCCGTGCAGCTGCAGCCAAGACCTGTGCTACGCGAGATGGGGATGCCTAGGACTCCTGTCAATTTTTTTACCCTGCCTATTCTGCTATTGGCCCTGTCGCGGCCTCGTACAAATATGCGAATCTTGTCACCAATATTACAGTAGTCACGGATGTCGGTGCCAGAAACTCTACCAGGAACCATCTCCGCTAACATTCGAAAAAAGATTGCTTGACAGCCCTGAGTGACTGACTCAACTCGTAATTTAATTATTATTATTATTATTATTATTATTATTATTATTATATAATATTATTATTATTATTAAAATTATTAAAATTTAAAAAAAAATAAAAATGTGCACACGTAAAAATTAAATTAAATAAAAAAAAAAAAATAATGATAATAAGTAAAGAAGGGGAAGAAGACGAAAAGGGGAAAGCGGAAAAAGTAACGAAACAGGAAACGGAAACGGAAAACTAAAGAAAAGAATTTTTTTTTGTATTTTTTTTTTGTTTCTATCTTTCTTTATCTTAAGCATTTTAAGTCTCAGGTACGATTTAAAAAAAAAAAAAAAAAAAAAAGTTAATTTTGACGTTTAACGGAAAAGTTTTCTGCTGCCACGTCACGATCGAACGAAAAAAAATTAAATAATAAATTCGATATTCGATCTGCCTTATGCATGAAGTTAAAAAAAAAAAAAAAAAAAAAAAAATTTTTTTTTGTTTTGTTTTGTTACGTTATTACCACTTTAATTTCAGTTCTTTTTTTGCCCTTTTTAGTAAAGAAGAAGTAAAAAAAAAAAGAGTAAAAAAGGAGAAGAAAAAGAAAAGAAAGAAAAGAAAGAAAAAAAATTTCGTGACTTTAAAACGTCCGAGAGGAAATATTGAAATTATGAACGATGATGAAAGTATTATTATTATTATTATTATCAATATGGAAAGAAGAAAATTTCTGAAGTAAGTTTATTATTACATTGGAATATTTGTTTTTTTTTCTTTTCAAGTTTTTTACCCCCTCCCCCTTCGGTCGTCACCGTCACAGTCGTCGTCGTCGTCGTCGTCGTCGCGATCGTGTCATTACGAAAAAAAAAACACCCTCGCATTCATTAAAAGAAAAGAAAAGAAAAGAATAGAAAAACATTTTATTCCGTCTAGACGAATGTTGTAGTCAGGTTAACGCGACATGTAAACCTTAAGGGTAAGAAAGGAAGAAAGTCACCGCCGACTATGACGACGACAACGTCGACGTTGACGACGACATTGCCATTTATTTAAACAAAAATGAAATCGTCGGGGGAGCAGATAGAGAAAATTTTATAAATGAGAACGACAAGTTCAAAAAAAAAAAAACAATTTTTAGTCGTTATTGTTTTTTTTTTTTTTTTTTTTTTTCGTGTCACCAACCACGTGGTGATATCGATTATTATCTCTCTCTCTCTCTCTTTCTCTCTCTCTTTATCAAAACAAAACAAAAAAAAAGTTTTCTGCTCGACTTTTATATATATATATATAAGTCTAGTCATAGAATTTTATGTTCTTATTTAAATCGTTCCCCCCTCTCCCCAAAAAAAAAATTCGTCGTGTTCTATATTTCGACTTTCCTACAGTTAGTTCCACGACTTTTTACTTTGTTACGACACGAAAAACGTACAGGTGTTTGGTGATGGATTAATGTTAAATAAGATTTTTTTTTTTTTTTTTTTTTTTACATAAAATTTTCGATTTTCCCTCTCGTCTCCCCCACGACTCCAATAATAATAATAATAATAATCGTCATCATCGTGATTTCATTATTATTATTATTATTATTTAAAATTGGCGCGAAGTTTAATAAATGTAAATGACACGACACGTGTCACGTGTTGTACGCGTTTTCGAAAAAATAATAATAAGAAGAGGTAGAGTTTTGATCAAAGTCACGAAATTTTTCTTTTTTTTTTTTTTTTTTTACTTATTTTATTATTTAATTACTAATTTGAACTTTGACCTTTTCACTTTCCCATCTTCGACCCCCCTTTATTTAATAAATAAAAAAAAAAAATGTTAATGAAAAAAAAAATATATATATATATATATATTTGATGAATTTGTTGTTTGTTGTTGATAATTATTATTATTATTATTATTATTATTATTATTATTATTATTATTATTATCGGAAGTTGGTGCTGCCGTCGCTGATGATTTTCTGCTTATTATTATTATTATCATTATTATTTTCTATCTGTCGTTAATAATATTCGTTTTGTCGTCATCGTTGTCGTTGACGTCATCGTCACCATCGTCATCATCGTTTTTTTTTTTATTTATTATATATATATATATAAACATGAAGGAGAAAAAAAAAAAAATATATTTTTTCGAAAAAAAAAACAAATTTTCTATTTTTTTTTTTTTTTTTTTTTTTTTTCAATTCCTTAGCTAAAGAGAAAAAGAGACAGAAAAAAATTTTCTCCGGGTTGGTTGGCACCACTGCCGCCGTCGCCGCCACCGTCGACGACGACGTCATCGATACCAAGGTACGACCAAAAAAGAAAAAAAAGAACGCCTCCTTTATATAAAAGGTTTGCAATTTTTTTATATATATAACGGTGTGTGAAAATTATTATTATTATTATCATTGTGTGATGTGGTTGTTGTTGTCGTTGACGTCACGGTTAAAAAGACGAAGAAGGGGTCGGAGGAGGTGAAGGAGGAGGAAGAGGAGGAGTGATAAAATAATTTCCACGTTTTGTTATCGAAAAGAAAATGTAACGGAAAAATTTCGTTAATGGAAATAAAAGTGGCAATAGAAAAAAGTGGTAGGATACAAAAAAAAAAAAAAAAAAACCGGGTTTTTGAAGTGGGTAGGAAGGGAGGAAGTGAGGTAGGGAGGAAGAAGGACTTCCTGGGGCCACAACAAAAATGTTCGTTCGTTCATTCATTCATTCATCGATGATGATATATATACCTGTGTAAAACCTTCGGTAAATAAGGTACTACGAGAGGGGGAGAGGAGGGTGAAGAGGTAGAAGGGGAGAGTTTAAAGTGGTAGAAAGGAAACAAAAAAAGTTAAATTGGGGCGAGGGGATGGGAAGGGGGTTAATGCAAATTTTTCATTTGAAAAAAAGAAAGAAACTAAACTACCTGAAACTTCTCTACTACCAAAAAAAAAAAGAAAAGAAAAGATAATGATGATAATAATGATTGTGTGTGCGTACGTACCTGTACGACATTGAAGGAGAAGAAGAAGAATTTAAAATACCTTCCGAGAATTTTAAAATTTAAATTTTTCTCTCTCTCTCTCACTCGCTCGCTCATTGATTTCGTTTGTTTTGTGTATCGATAAGATTTTTTTTTTTATTTTTGTAAAGTTGGCAAAAGTGGTAGAAATGTAAAAAATAGGAAAAATCATCATCATCATTATTATTATTATTTGAAATCGATCGAGGACATAATTCGTTAAATTGTTTTGTATGACGATTGATATTGTCGTGATTATTAATTTTCAAAAAAAATGTCGTTTCCGATATTTATTTCTTCTGCCACGTTTTTTTTTTTCTCTCTGTCGTTATTATCATCGTTATCTTTATTAATATTTATTGTTTTTTTTTTGCCGGGGAGGATATTTATAAAAAATTAAGGGAAAAAGGTTTTCGTTCTTACTTATTCTCCTGCCACGAAAAAGGGAAAAAAGTCGTGGAAGGATGAAATAAAAAAATTTTATTCGTTTGATTTAAGTGACGTAAACGGGGAAAAAAACAAAATGGATACGTTTAAGTCATGTTGTAGGTTGTAGGCTGTGTGTACGTACGTGTTTTAAGGTATGCAAACGTGGGAGTAGAAAATGAGTAGAAAAAATTATGAATTTTTTTTTTTTAAAGTGACAAAAAAAAGTTATTATCATTATTATTATTATGACGAGGATTATTATTATTATTAGTTCCTTTAAAGGTTCTCGATTGTTCTTTTATTGTTTTTTTTTTTTTTTATCGGAACTAAATTAAGATGACATTTTTTATTGCCTTTTTTTTTTTTTTTTTTAATATTTATTTATTTACACGTCCGTCCGTCCGTCGTCTGCTTTTTAAGGTTCGTCGTCGTCGTCGTCGTCGTTAAGTTTAAAAAAAAAAAAAAAATTTTGTGGATGAAATCAGGGACGTTTTAAGGTTTTTTTTTTTATTAAAAAAAAAACATTCGAAAGCACGGTGGCCCGTGCTCCCGATTGTTTTTTTTTTTACAAAATATTGTTTGTTTGTTAAAAACGAAGGCGTTGTTTGTTTGTTTGTTTGTAGGATTTATAAATTGTCACCCACCTACCTACGATTATTTTTATTTTTTTATTTTTTAAAATAAATTTCACAATTTTTTTTTTTTTTTGTTTTCTCTACATCTTATTCGTTCGTTCGTTTGTTTGTTTGTTTGTTTGTTTTCCGACAAGCGATTTTGTATTTCGGCGATCGAAAACATCAAATTAATCGTGGGATTGGTAGAATTGTTAGAAATTTATTTTATTAATAAATATTCGGGGAGGCGTTTAAAATGATTCAATGATGAGGGGGAAGGGTATCCGTACAAACATACAAAAGGTTTGTCGGTTGTTTTTGTCGTTTGCGTTTGTCGAATGAAATTTACAAACATCGACGTTTGATTTTTAATTGAAAAAAAAATCCAAAAATAAAAATTTAAAAAAAACATTTTTTTTTTTTAAGGCGCGCGCGCGTTTCCGACATTTTTAATTAAAAAAAAAAAGAAGCCAAAAATAATAATAATGATGATAATAATAATGATGATGATGATGATGATGATGATGATGACGATCATCGATCGATCGATCGATCGATCTTTTTTTCTTTCCAATCGAATAATTGAACGTTTGCCATTTATTATTATTATTATTATTATTATTATTATTATTATTATTATTATTAATTATTCATTGATTTAGTTTGGCACAATTTTTCGTTTTTTTTTTTTTTTTTTTTTTTTTAAACGAATTGACCCTAAAAATAATTATTTATAATTGAATGATTGATTGATTGATTGATCGATTGATCGATAGATCGATAGATCGAACGATGAATCGAAATTCTTTTTTTTTTTGAATTTAAAAATCGTTTCAATCAATTATTTAAATTTTTGGGGGAAAATTTAAATTTTTGCTGTTGTTGTTGAAATGTTTGTTACGTTATTTAACGATTCATTCATTCATTCATTCATTCATTCATTGATTCGTTTGATGGTCGGGTTTGAATGAATGAGGGAAA